GTTCCTCCTCAGTATTCGATGCAGACCAGGAGGCTGGCATGTATTAAGCTGGCTCGGCACATGCCGATATATCAGAATGTTCATGCGCTGGTGGCTGGGTGTTTCGGCTGTCCATCGCCTGGCGGTGCTAGATGTTGCGCGCTCGACGCCGATCGCATTCACAAGCGTCTACGTCGGCAAACTTCTTGGGCGAATGTTAGAATTCCAACGAGATTTTCCTACTCATCCTAGCGTGCATCAAGGGCGGATTGTTTCTGCAGCTCGCGTCGGTAAGATCTATGTTAGTGCGCCCACGGGTGCTTTATGCAACTGGCATCCCTATGTTTGAGTTCAGTGGAGAACGACATATATGCGCGAATCAAGTGGTCACATCCCTCTTAATCTGGAGCTTCGTCCAGGACGCCCACCCGGAGATGAGGTAACGCGTCGCATTCCATCTTGGGTCGTTGGCAAGCATATTTTTGTGGAGAACCTGACTACGATATTGATGGACCTTCCGCACTCTTGGCACCCATTTGAAAAATTGACGTTGCTCAAGGATGCGACGCACTACGCTGCCGATCTCACAAAGGAGCAATTATCTTTCCAAGGTCCTGAGACACCAGAGGAGAAGGTCAGCTGGTGCTTTGCAGTCATGCGCGCTATGGGATCTTCTCACGCTCGTCTAATTCGGAAAGCCCGCCGTGCTGTTCCTGAGTTCAAGCAGTTAATTTCAGATGATTTGGAATTGTCTGTTCTTGCTGATTTCCATTCTTTTATGCGCTCTGCCACGCTCGCGCGCCCCCGTGCCCAAGATAACGTTTTCGACATCAGTGAGACGCTGAACGCAACATTCAAAATCCAACAGAAAGACCAGCTTCACCGATTGCATGCTGCGTGGGCTGATCGGAGTCGCCGGCTTTCCTTGCATGCGGTCATTGGCCCTGGTAGGCAGGGGGCGCCTGATAAAGCCTCGGGTGCCGCTTTGCTCGCTTCGTATTGGGGGAAGGTGCGCGAGGCTAAGGAGGTGAGGGAGAAGGAGTGGGAGCTCTATCGTGTTCTCTGGCAGATCTTGGCTCGTTTCGTGCATTGCTTGGTAAATTGATCGATGCAGCCCCTGGTCCTGATGGGATTCCGTTCTCCTGCTAGCACTTTGGAGGAGATGGAGCTAGTCAAATTCTATATGGTGTATATCAATGTGTACTTGGATGAGAGGAGTTGCCAGAGGATTTCAATCATTGCTACATGGTTTTCCTGCCTAAGAATATTCTCCTGAGTGAAGCTATGGATATTGCGCGCCCACCTGCCGCCACTCGGCCACTCTCGTTCTCGGACACTTCGAACGAGTTGATCTCGCATGCCATCGAGTCGGGGCTCGCACAACAAGCACAATGCACTGTATATTGGGCTCGGACAGGATCTGTGAAGGGCAGACATACGACGGGCAATATCTTCGAGGCATCGTCGTCTCTTACGTTGTGGGGGCATGTCGAGGGCAATCGTGACTGTGGGGCCACCTTGGTGGGCTTTCAAACGGCGTTCCCCAGCCTTGCTCACTCCTGCATCTTTTGGGTGCTAACGGTGAGGGGTCTGCCTGATTATATTTTCCATATTATACGCGCGCTCGACAAGGATATTCGCACCTCGCTTGTGCATTTTGGGGCTGTCTTTATGGGATTCGTCGTCCTCTCTGGGGTAAAGCAGGACTGCCCAATGCCTGGATCGATATTCGCTCTTGCGTTAGATCCCGTGGTTCGTCGGATGAGTTTCCGTCTTCCTCGGCCGTTATCGTTCATCAAGTGTTTCGCAGACGATTTGGCTCATGTCTCGAGAGATACGTATCGCGCGCTCCCTGCGCTCTTTCGGCTATGGATTTCTTGTGGATATGACGCTGGCCTCTGGGTCAATACGCTGGAAACCCTGACCATCTGTTATTTTCTTCGTGATCGTATTCAGATCGGCGAACGTCTCAACTGTGCTGGCCTGAACGCCACCAATCTCAAGTTCGTCGACATGGGCGCATATCTTGGCATACGTATTGGTTCGAATGGCTTCGCTGATTCGTGGGCGATGCCTCTGGGAAAATACGGCCGACGGGTATCTTTCCGCGGTAACTTGACTGTGGCTTCACTCAGCCTCTGTTCAGCTACAATGTTCTGGCAATGGGTGCCCTCGCGTATATTTCTTAATTCCATGCGCCTACAGCTGCAGATCGACGTCATCAGCGTGAAGGACTGCAAGCGGTGATTGGATGACCGCGCCTCTCTCTCCATCCTGATCTTCTTAATCGGTTGAAAGAGATTGGGTTTCCTGTTCAAGCTGTCCTGTTCAAGCTGTTGATATTGCCAGATACGCCGCGGCTGCCAAATATCGCCTGGCACGGCGCTCAGGTATCTTTCTTCGCCCCGCTGAGGAATATCATGACATGTTGGGCGGAGATAGCTGGTCGGTTACTCGCGGGCGCAATCCCAGGTTCACCAATCGCACGTTCTATTAGCTGCATGATAGTTCGGGGAAGCTGAATTGTATCCCGCGTATTCCAAAGGGTCCTTGGTGCACAGAATAGCAATGCGTTTTTGTTTTTTTTGAGGGAAAAAATGTTTGTTTTTGTTCCACCCATTTTTTCTCTCTCTTTCTTTTCCCCTCACCCTTTTTCTTTTCTTCTTGTTTCTCTTGCCCACTTGTGTATTCCTGCAGTCTCTGTGTCTCCCTATCTGCATCCGAGACAGGGGTGTTGGATGAAGGGCCGACGTGTTGATCGGCAAGACTCGACGGTGCTGTTCATGCGTATGCAGATGATTGCTGCCCGGATGCCCTGCTCTGTGCTCGCCAGTGTATTCAAAACTGCATCGACTGCTTGGGCCACCACTGCCCCGCGATAGTGTCAGCCGCTGGATATGTGCCGTTACGGATGCAAGGCCAGCGCTTGTGGTGCCATTCCTCACTATTTCTCTTGCCCGCCCTTTGTTAATGTTCTGTCTCATCTGCTGCCCTGTTTTTCTGTTTCATATTTCATCGGTGATCCTAGGAAACGGTTCTTGCCGCGCCTCTTTGCATGGGGAACCCCCGAGGAGCTCTGTAGTATCGTCATTGGTGCCGAGCTCGCTCATTCTGTGTATCATAGGATGCGTGCATCTGGGTCAAACAGCCTTGTCCTTTTCCTCCGCCTTATGCGTGCTCGTGCGCGTCAGCTGTTGCGCCGTCGTCGGAGCTTCGACTCTGTCATCTCGAATTTTCCGCTCGCCTCTGTTCGCTGCCGCCACCTAGCCGATCGCTTCTTGACATAATGGTCGTGTGTTTATTGTTTGCCTCCTTTTCCCAATATTCTTCCTGGCTGCGCCAGTTTTTGCCTCGCCCAGGAACTGAATTGGGATTGCCTGTCCTCGATCATAGCTCGTCCCCCTGGGACGGATTTCTTGCCCTCTTCTCGCTTCTTGTCCGCTCGCCCTCTTTGCGTTTTGCCCTCTTCTCGCCTCTTGCCCGCTTGGCTTCGTCTCGTCCCTTGTCTTCAACGCGAGTCCTGATCATCATCATCATCATCTCCATCATCATCATCATTATCATTATTATTATCACCATCCTTATCATTATCATTATCATTATCATTATCATTATCATTATCATTCGCATTATCGTTATCATTATCGTGATCATTATCACCATCATCATCATCCTCATCACCGCCATCAGTTTCGGCACAAGCCTCACACGTTTCGTTGCCCCCATATGGAACTCCACCAAAAGCCCCAGAGGAAGCATTCGCGTGGCGGCCCTGACAATTTCGGCATACCCCTCAACAAGTTCCGTGGCCCCAAATGAACTCCACCGAAGGCTCCAGTGGCAGGGTTCGTATGGCTGCCCTCGCCCATTTCGGCACGCCCCTCGGTTTCGCCCGGTCCTTTCCGCCCCATTTCGCATGGCAGCCCCGCCCCATGTAGTTTTCCTGGGCTTCCTCGTTTTCGGGTTCTCCTCGGTGTGGGTTTTCTTTGATTTCAATATATATATATATATATATATATATATGTATATGTATATGTATATGTATATGTATATATATATATATATATATATATATATATATATATATATATATATGTATGTTGTTATATGATATATGAATTATCATTTGTTATTCATTGTTTATGTACTATATATACATACATAATTATATAACTAATTGTATATTTGTATATATATATATATATATCCCTATATATACACCTGTTCGTTTTTTTCCTCGATTTGGGTTTCTCCTCGGTTTTGTTTTTTCCTTGGTTTGTCTTCCCATTTTTTCGGTGACGAAGGAGTCCCTGCCTTTCCCTGCCCAGCTTCTGGTGATGCTGCTCAGACGCCTGCTAACGCAGGCGGGCCGCAGCCTGTCTCCAGGATGCATCCTCTTCCGCCGCCTCCCACCTCTCCGCTTGAAAATAGAATTGGGGCTGGATGCGGGAGGGAAAAGTAGCCACCAGTTGGAGTGCAGGATGGCTTTCTACAGATGCGGTTGATTATGTTGGCTCCGTCTGTGCGGGAACGCTCTTACCTCAGGATGCGGGTGCATATGCTGCTAATTCGTATGATTTCCGTCTGGTCGGGAACGCTTTTCTGGGGTTGTACCTCTGGATGTATCTGAACATGCTTATACTGATGTATGATATGGCTCGGCGATGTGCCATACGTTGCCCAATGTAATTGTCACGGAATCGGTGCGCCAGCAAATTTTAAGCTGGCATTTGATTCCTCACTACTGGGTCTTTCCTGCCAGGCTTTGGTGATGCTGCTCCGACGCCTGCGGACGCAAGCGGGCCGCAGCGTGTCTCACCGTCGTCGTCGTCGTTTCGTCGTCGTGTCGTAGTCTTCGTGTCGTTCTCTCTTTTGGGACCTCGCTCCCCTTCGGGGCGCGCGCGAGGCCAACCTTGAGTCCTAGAGTCCTCCTCCTCCTCCTCCTCTGCGAACGTGGTTTTGTGCGATTGGCCATACGAAGAGTGTTTGCAGAACCGTGCACACCACCCACCCCTCCTGAGGTCACCTGGGCCTTCTTGTTGAACATCGCGCTTGCAGTCGTTGACGAGGCCCGGGAGGGGACTCCACGGGGCAGGCTCAGCCAGATGCACGTGGGACGAACAGGCGTTATTCTGAAGGGTGCCTCGCAACGAGGGTTTGATGGTGGGGGGGGAGGAGCGGCGACCTTGGGCTCTCCCTCCCGTCGGCGCCCTGCCCGGTCTGCGGCCCGGAGGCGCGGCAAGACTTCCAGGACCACGACAACAAACTCCACGCAGACAAGCAGAATGATGACGCAGAGGACGCAAGAGCGCCCTGGAGTGCAGACAGGGTGGCGAGAGGGGGGGGGGGCACGCGGGGACGGCGGGCCCGAGGTCAAGCTCGGCGGCCCTTTTGCTTCCTCCTCCCCAACCGCCCGTAGGCGCCTCGGAACAAAGGGGGTCGTGGCCTTTTTCAGAACTGCTGGCCCGTGCAGCCGCTGCCGTTCGTCCGTCGTCGTCGTCGTCGTCGTCGTCGGAACAAAGTCCGCTCAAAATCTATCCCCGTACACCTCCCAGGGTCCATCTCAGCCAGTTTCTTCACCCCAGAACGATCTCCGACGCCTCTCTGGATACCGAGACTGGCCCCTGGATGCCGAAACTGATGAGCCTTTCGATAGGCGAAGATCGAGGAGCGTCGTCCTCGTCGTCGTCGTCGTCGTCGTCGTCGTCGTCGTCGTCGTCGTCGTCGTCGTCGGCGCCCCTTCCCAAGGAGCTGGCCGACGCCGTCCTCCGGGGCCCGGAGGAGATGGCCGCAGGTGCTCGGCGGCCGCCGGCTGCCGTCGCCAGCGCGGCTCATCGCCCACCGTTTTTGGCTACGCTGAAGTCGAGCATATCCCGTTACAGGAGGAATATTCAAGAATAGTATCAAATAGTCTGGTGACGATCATCCGTGCTTTTTGGATTTTGTCTGATTCTGTATTAACTTTTTTTTTTTTCTTTCAAGAATCCACGTGTAGGAGAACATGCCTGACCTCAGGCTACGCGTATCATGCCACCTGTGCACTTGTCGCGTTTGCATCCCGAGCCCCGGCGGGGCGAAACGCTGACACGCGCCACTGCCAAAGGGTGCACGGGCTTGAAGGCGCCGCGCGAATTCCGCCACGGTGGCCTCTGGTGCGGCGCGACAGCAGCGGCTTGCGCGCTTGGGTCTGGTCGGATCGGACGAGAGGGGTGGTTGGGGAACGAGATGTCAACCTCTCCTCCCGCATGCTCCCTGCCGCCGACCGCCGCAGCTGTTTGCACAAGAGATCAGGGTGCGGGCACCACAGGCCCGCCACCGAGCGCGCAGAAAGAGAGACGGTGCACCTGCACCAGCGGCCGCTGCGCAAGCAATGGCACCAACACTGGTAGATGAACTGTTCGACGAAATAGAAGGTCCAGCTGACATGCCACCTGCACGACAGAGACAGAGGGGGTATGCACGGCCGCGTGCACTTTTCCCTACAGGTAGGAAATCCTGAAAACCCGACTGGGTGACAGTAGCTACGACATGACAGGAGGTGTATACGGTTCTGGCGGCAGTGGCGCTAGCAGCGCTCGCGCTGGCAGCTCTTCGGACCCACCGTGCGTCGCGGGACGGCGAGGGTGTGAGGAGAGCGGTGCTGCGCCATGTCCCCTTCCACCTCAAGCAGAAGCGCGGCCATGTGCGAGACGACCTGATTGGTCGAAATTCGACGTTCGGATGAGTCTCCCAAACATCGAGGTTCGACAATCGGAGAAGTCTCCAAAACGTACGCAACGTCAATCCGACGATCGTATTGGAGGAGTTGCGCAAGTTCCACCTGCGTTGGTATCGCGCCTCCAAATCGAAGATGCGCGCAATTTTGTCGAGAGTCGGGATAAATGTTGTACGATTGAACATGGTAGGAGGTGTAGTTGACTCACGCCGTGATCGGAGAGCATAGGAGAAACCAGGCAACGCAGTCATGCCGTCAAGCAACCTCCCTGGCACATTCAGTCAGAAAGTCGAACGTGATCTGAATGTCCGCAAACAACACATCGTATTCCACACCATCCACCGATGCATTCGTTGGGCTGCTGGCCAACAGGTAGCCGACAGGGCTATGTGTGCCATATATGACGCCTACCACCAATGGTGGATGCAACGCGGTCCCGCCACGGTGATGCATTCCGACGGGGAAGGCGCCTCAAACAACCATGCCGACAGGGCTTCCCTAAGTGCCAAGGGCACGGAACATCGCTTCCGTGCTCGAGGCCAGCGCCCCACCGCCATCGAGACGCGCAACGGCATCCTCAAGCACGGCTTGCACGTCATGGCAGGATAACGCAAGCGTCACAATGCCTCACTGGTAATTTCACTCCTACTGCACGAATGCCAACTTGTCTGCGTCGCCCTGCCAGGCGCCTGCTGCACGAAGGCCTCCCAGGCAAATTCAATGAGGGAAGTCGAATGCGATCTGATGTTTTGTAGACGACACATCATACTTCATATCACCCACCGATGCGTTCGTTGGGCTGCTGGCCAGCAGGTCGCCAACATGGTGATGCATGCTATCTTGGGCGCCTGGTCTGGCCACGGTGATGCGCTCCGATGGAGAGGGCGCCTTTCGCAGCGATGCCGCCGAGGCTATCCTAAAGGCCAGGGGGGCGGAGATCCTCATCCGTGCCCGAGGTCAGGGCGCCGCCGCCGTTGAAGCGCGCGGCGGCGTCCTCCGACGCGCCGTGCGCGTTATGGGAAATAATCCAAGCGGCGCGACATCCCACTCGTGTTCCTACGCCTACTGCGCGGAGGCTTCTTTGTCTGTGCTGCGCTCGCGTTCTACAGCGGCGCGTCGACATATCGGGCGCACTGCGCGGCCGACGAGCGGCCTTTACCGGGCCCCCCGGCGCTGGGCCGCGGGCCAGGGGCGGAGACGTCCGACCGCAATCGGGGGCGAAGAATCAGGGAAATAAGCGTTGATGCGACTGCCCGGGCCGCGGCCGCAGTCGAGGCTAGCCGAGCCGCGCGCGCCAAAACAACGGCAGCGCAGCGCCGCAACTATCGGCCAGGCGATCTCGTGGACTGCCGCCGCCCGACCACAGCGAAAGACGACTGGGGTGGATGGGGCGGCCCATGTCCCATCGCCCGAACTTGCCCTGACCGAGGCCAGGCCGCGGTTCAAGTCGGTGGTCGAGAGGTGCTCGTGCACGGCCCGGACTTGCGTCGCATGCGGTGCTGGCCTTTGTCGCGAGCCTGCCTGCGGGGGAACCTGCTTTGGTTTTCGGCTACGCGCCGACCGTGCAAGGAAACTTGCCGATGACCGCGGCGAGCCGTCTCTCGCCTAAGGGTAAGGGGTACTTGGTTTGCAGCTTCTAATCATAAACTATTTCAGATCAGAGAAAGTAATAGCTATGTGTCTGGCGATGGGCATCCGCGAGTTACCTGCAGCGCCGTGCGCTGACAGTTGCGCCCCGTGCATTATGACAACGACGGTGCATTGGGATTTCACGACTACGAATCCGAAGGCGCAACCCATGCTATCCACGGCGTCACTGGGTCTATGCCTATGCGCGCGCGCGAGTGATCCAGCGCCTCAAATCCAGAGTTTCTAGCAGGTTTCGACGACGACTTATTTAAGTTTGAGGAACTGGCGGGCGCGCCAGCACCGGGCGGCAACGCTCGCGAGGAAGAGCAACTTCTGGCTTCAGCAGCGCCCGATGGCAGACTCCCAACCATTACCGAGGAAGTGGAGATGGATTCAGATGCGCTTGCCATGGTAACGTGTCGCGTCTAATTCCAAGAGGAAAAAGGAATTATTTGAGACCGCTCCACGGGGGTCCCTATGCTCAGTTCCCATTGATGCAGAGAAGTCACGCGCTCGTGACTGTAGCCAGTGAGGGGCAAGGACGTTTGCAGGACATGGGCTGCGATCTTCGCGATGATTCGGATGATGTGTTCCCGGCGCCCTGCGCTGCTGTGTAGGGCGAAACCTACGACTTCGATTCGGGCGACTGTGCGTTGAGCTTTGCTTCGCATCTGACATGGCCAAAATCGTTCTGACAGAGCGACGGCGCGAATCGCCATGCGACGGCCGGATATCAACTGCGCGCGTCTATGTCGCAGCCGCAGCCGAGAGGGCTGCGGTCGCCGAGGAAGACGACCTCGTGGCGAAGATTGAAATTCAGGCGATCCTGGCCGAGGTGCGCAAGGCCTTGCACGCGCAATTCAAAGTGCGGCGATGACAAATCCTCCAAGATGCAGTCTATTAAGAATGCCACTCGCTCCATGATAGCTAGATATGTGTGCAGAGTGGAAGTTCGCGAAGAATGAATTAGGCGAAGTGAAACGTGCCATCCGACTTCGCCGGGCCCTTCGCGGTTTCGTGGGCGTCGAAGCTTTCGACGTGGAAACCTTCTCAGGCACAGTTCGTCGAGCAAGTCGAAGATTGTTCGCGAGCGCGACCGCGCCAGACAAATTGTGGATCATGGCATCCATGGGCATTGGTAAGGCCTGCTTCATGGCCCTGACTTATCGTGAGCTGGCAGAAGCCACTGGAGAGAATGAGCGCATGGTCTGCTTTGTTCTCTCACCTGGCTCAGCACCTGTGCTGCGCGCGCTGTCGGGCTTCGCGTCTCGCGACGAGTCTAGGCGCTGCCTGCGGTGCTTGATGCGCCTGGGATGCCCCCGGGGCCATCTCCTTCGAATTCAGGGCCATCGCAGGGCGCGTGCGGGCTGAAAACCATCTGGTGCGACGAAGAATGTGAGGGGCCCGAGCCTCCCAACAGCCGTGCGCGTAGATGACGTGAACGTGGCGGGGGTCGAGGATTAGCGCGTCGAGCGCGTAGAGGGCGCGTTCGGCGCATATGAACTTGACGGGCGCGGCCGTGCTATCTGCGCCGCGCGCTGCGCCTAGGCCGGGGGCGGCCGCGCCCATATGGGTCGTGATGGGCACGCCCGACAACTTTGCCCCACGCAGCGCCCAGGATTTGCGGGCGCTGTGACGGGGGGGGAGGCGACGGACATCGTATCTGATGTGTTCGTCAGCCTACGTGGTGCGTCAGCATATGCATTAATCGCGAATGTGTGGTTGATGGCATAGGTAGTTTCATTGCAGCGTGTCTAAGAACCCGCCGACGTGCACATTCGGGGACTCAGTACCGCGACGCGCAATTGCAGCAAGGCCCAACGAAAGTAACATATCATTTCGTGACGAGAAGTGGACCTTCGCGGCGATTCCGGATATCGTTGCCTCAAATGCGAGGCCGACAACGAAATTAAGGGGGGCGTGGCGTCTGCGGGGCCAACCCTTTCCCGCGCAGGCGCGCGCCCAGAGGGGTGCAGTAGTGCATTTGATGGGCGCGTGCTGCAAATCGCACCGCATGCAGGTGCGCTCCAGCAACTCCGCGGAAACCTTAGCTGCGGCCCATAGTTTTGAAGATTGCTGCCTTCCCGTGGCGACGCGGCGCGAGCTCAAGGTCTGGGCCGCTAACGCCGACGCAACGCAATCTGATTTTGTCGAGATAGGTGATCTGAGCTTGAAGGCAATTTTCGCCATTGGCGCCGCGTCGGCCTTCAAGTCCCTCTCAAGTATGGACTTGAAAGCTGAATGTCCCGTACTCGGGCAAGTCAGCAGGATGCGATCGATGATGGATCGGGGTATCGCTCATAGCGCGCAGTGGTGTAACGCGCGATATGGCAGCCGATGGTCATTCCAAAGGCTGTATACAGGCGTTCGCATATAAGGTCAAGAAGTATGCGCCCTGTCGAGGCAACCAAGCATCACCAATGTAGGGGTGCCCTGCTCAGGACTAGCGG